TGGTCGCGAAACAAAAAAAAAGAAGAATCAACCCCGGTTAACCGCTGGCTAGAGAAACCCACAGCTACTATTTCCCCTGGGAGCTACTGTGGTGGCTTCCAGACGATCATGGGTTGGTGTCAGCCATCAATCGAGTGTAGCTCAATGGCCGGTGTGGTAGTCAAAAATGTGAAAATTAAAAGTTTTTTTTCTTTCTTTTTTCTTATATATATTTTTTCTTCATATTATCACCCAATCTCTCTCAGAAATCACACCATACGGCTCAAGAACTGGACTCTATGGACAAATTCACCCTTGGTCACCACGGAGGCATTACTGGAACACACTTGGATCAACCCTTACCCAACAATGGATAACATATCACAAGGATTTCACTCATCACTACATATCACCAATCACAATTACAACCCTCAAGCTACAGACACCCTCAGTACAGTACAACCTCACATTTACATACACACACATTTACATACACACACATTTACATACACACACATTTACATACACACTCATTTACATACAGCTACACTCTTTACATTTCACTTCTACATATTACATCATACCTGCAGACTGAATTAGTGTATTTTCCTTGCATGACAGCTGCAGCTTACACCACCACACTCACTTGTAAACACCACACAACCTGACCAATCAGAATCACTCTTTCAACTGTTTGGCCCACCACTTTAGCTCTTGTACATGTCTGACCAATCACATTCACTCATTCAACTTATGTATGTAGCTAAAATCCCAGGCCAGCCAAAATCACTCATTACTGGCTGCCCTGGAGCTAAATTCCCTCACTATTTTCTATATAAGGAGGCTCTCCTCCCAGTTGTTGTCTCCTCAGTGTATTATTCATCAGTCACAGTTTAGTACAACTCAATCAAAGATACATCACCTTTACAGAACCTTACCAAACACCAATAACAACTAAACTCATTTCTCAGCATCACACAAACCAACGGTGGGCCGCTACACTAACCGTAGCGGTTAGTGTAGCGTAACGTAGCGGAATTCCCGTTAGCGTTAAGCGTAGCGTAGCGGAATTCCGCCACGACACCGCTAACGCTACGCGTGTGGGCCGCAAAAAAGGGCCCACTACGCTGCGCTACAGCGGTTTTTAGCCGCTTTTTCCGCTAAAAGCGCTGTAGCGCAGCGTAGCGTAGCGAAAATGCGCTACAAAAGCGCTAACACTACGAATTTTTGGCGCAAAAAAAGCGCCGCTACGCTACGCTTTTTGGGCCAAAAGCGTAGCGTAGCGTAGCGGCCCACCGCTGCACAAACTCATTCCTGAACTTACCCTATCACTTGATTAAAACTTGCCAAGCTGAGCTTGGTGGGTCTTGTTATCTGATAGTATAGAAGGGCAGAGCTTGCACCTCCACCATCCCCTTCTCCATTCAGCAAAAAGGGTCTCACAACCACTTTTTGAGTCTTACACCGGCACCGAGAGCTACGCTTTCTTGATGGCCAGCCCGTTCAGAGGAGCTTTGCTCTTTTGATGGCCGGCACCGGTCATGGTCTCAACAAAAACTGAGCTCCCCTGATGGCCGGCACCGGTCATTGGAGGAGGGCGAGTGCCTTGTGGCACCGGATTTCCTCTTTCGGTAGCAACAGCACGTTTTTTTTTTATGTACATATTTTATTTCATTTTACATATATATATATTTTATTTTATTTCATTTCATTTTGTGTTTATTTAAATCTATGTACAGTTTCAATTTTTGGTGCTGGTCAGGCGAGATGATTAGTGTTGTCGGAACTGTCGTTGCGAGGGGGCTAGTGTCGTTGCAGATCCACCTTGGATTTGGTCGCGCAACCTATTGAACTGGTGGGAAACGTCAGGTGACGCTGCGGCCTGCAGCAACACCTAATTGTCCGTAGTGAGAGAGTCCTTCACCTAAGGCGGTTATAAACCCAAATTTTTATGCAAAGCTAATTTTCCGGCTTAATTTAGACTTTTGACCCCCCAAGTCATGTGCATTTTGAAATAAATTTTTGACAATCAACTGCACTTTAGCCTGTTTTTTCAACCATCAACCACCTCACCTGTAAAGTGAAAATTGGGCACTTTCAAAAATGTCCATTGGACACTCTCAATCAAGAGTGTCCAATGGATGGTTATTTTTTACCGTCCAGAGGATGGTCTTGACCACCAGGCATCACTTGGATGGTTTCAGAAGCATCCAAGTGATGCTTGGGGCACTGGAGCATCCCTTGGATGCTTTCATAGCGTCCAAGGGACGCTCTTGCTCAGAAAATGACCATCGGATGTACAGGTTTTCTAAAAACCCGCCCCGTGGTGTATATGAATCTAGTCTTTCTTACGGCGTAGTTCGGGTTAAAGCGTGACTGGGGTGTGCTACTACGTCCCATAGCTATTGATCTTTATGCATTTTACCTCCTGACACATCTCTGGTTGCTGTTTTTTTTTTTGTTTTTTTTTGTTCTTCTTTGGTCTCGAAAGTTCAAGCTTATCCAGAGGTGAATCATCGTTCTTGTCCAGCTAAGGCGGGACTCAATCATCTTTTGAAGTTTGCTTAGATGTTATTCCGAATCAACAAATAGAAATTCAAAACTCTGATACAGTAAAAGCAAATGTGGCTGGTAGTTTGGTTTTTGTTTGTTTATTTATGGATGCATGTTTTATTAATGATTGAGAGCTGAATCAGACACTTCATCTAGTTCTTGATCAGCCGACGGGCCACCCTCGCGCGCTTCGTGGATCTCTTCTTCTGTAAATCTCCTTCTCCTCCGCGCAGGGTGGGCGGGTGGTGCGAAAAAACCGGGTGTGAAGGCGATGAGAAAGAAGATACCTTCAGGGGTAGAACTCCGGAAGGATGGGGGGAAGAGGTTCTGCTATGAAGGGGGGGATGTAAGACCCAACTCCTAGCCCAGGCATCCCCCCGCCCCCCCCCCTATAGAAAAGCCGGGGGCTTAGGCCGGGGGGAATCGAAGGTAGGCCTTTCCGGCAGACCCCGTGCGATCTTGATCTCCTGGCCACTACTCAATTGACAGGGCTGGCGGCATAGTGCCAGCCTTCCGTCTTGGCTGTGTGCTGTAGAAATGTGTCTAACTACTGCAGCATCCATGGACGCCGGTGAACTCGCGTAAACCTCTCATAAATCCAACAAAGAACCAGTGAATGATCATGCAGTGAATTTCTGAGGCGGTGAGCTGAGGCTGGTTAGGAATATAGTTCATCAGAAAATGGGACATGAGCCTTAAACTGGCTGCACAAGCATCGGGAGAACGGTGATGCCGACTCCAGGAGCGGAGGATGAGGTCCGGGGGCGCTAGCGGCGGCACCGTATAACCGTATACATTAACATATTTGGGACGAACAAGATACAAAAAATCACAACAGATCATGTTCTGCAGCTTCTTGAAAAGTTAGAACCAATCAGCCGAAGCCACTCAGATGTATCCCAGTGAGCACATCATCACCCAAGCAAACAGCCTTTGATCCTACGTGCGATTGGCCAATCCAGCCACACTGTCGAATTTCGAGTGTCTGGAGTGGAGGTCTATCTACTAGGGTCCCAAGTGATCCCGAACATACATAAAAACCCGCGAACAACAGCCATCAGGTTGATCCCCATCCGCTGCCACCAGGAGTCCCTACCACAATCTGCTTCTTGCCTACTCTCTTCAATCCCGATAACCATCAAAAAAATCATTCCTATCATCATGTTGGCCAGTGGTCTTTACACCAGTCTTGTTCTTCTGTTGATTGGAACTTTCAAGCTTGCCGGTTGCGCTCCGGATAGCTCGTTCTCATGTGATCAGTTTTTCCTTCCTACGCAGACCCAACAGCTTCCGGGATGAATGCTAAAGACTCTCTCTACATGCCCTTCTTTTAGTTGACTGCAGTCAACTGCCGGAGTTCGTCCAACAGAAGTGTTGTACTAACGGTAAATGTAAGTCCTCACCTTTCTTCGCCTTCTTTCATAGCTAATAATTATAGCTCAATAAACTACTCTGCTGTTAGGGGACGCCTCGCGTTGCCATCCCTAATTCGATACCTCGGCTGGAAAGTACGGTCAGTCGACCACCGTATCCGCACCCGGCATTCGTATCCTAATAATCTGATTTTCATCTCCTATCCTCTAGTCGGACTTGAAGTACGGCGGCAACGGATAGGCTCAATGTCCAGGATGGTACGTGTTTAGTTGTTGGACATCCGCAGTTTGACCTATCATTTTGGTTGTGTACCCACAAACTCATCAAGCCCTTTTCCTCATTTGTAGCCCACCCCATGAGGAGTCGAAAACAGGCCATTCGATCGAAGACTTTTATTATTTCTATTTCATTTGAATTCCAAGCCCATGTGATCAAAACCAATCGGTCGAGATTTCCTTGGATATTCTGGTTACTTTATGCATACTGCTCTTATTACAAGCTATTCTTGAATTTCAAGACAAAAGAAATGCACGGAGTTTATTTTATTTTTCTAAACAACAACAACAACAACTGTCGATGATCGACAGAGTAGGTTCACAATGTCCCACAAATTTGAGCAGCGTCCATGTTTTGTTTTGCAAAACAAAAAAACAATCGATTTTGAAGTGTTGAACGATGATCGATAATTTCTAAGCATTTAAATACATAATAAGTCATACAAAAGTGCTTGAATCGCATTAATTTGCCCATGCGCTGCGACAACATTGGGTGGGATGTATCGCAATGAGAAGAATCGTTCTTCAACTCTTCGAATCTGATTGGGATTGGCTTGATGTCTTTCTGCAGCAGCGACTGGTGGAGAAAGATGAATGAGTTTTTTTTTAAAATTCTTTTTGATCGTGTTGTTGGACACAAAGAAAAAGAGGTACTTGAAACTCACAGACCTGAGATCGACGATGAAGAAGGGACGTTTGATGGGACCTAATAGTTCTTTAGTACAATGATGATGATGATCACTGAGGACGGATTGTAGGGCGGGAGATTATAAGGATTGGGTTGCTGATGGGCCGGGGGGAGAAAGAAGCAGGATGAGTTTCGGAAGGTTCCGGATGAGAAGTCGCGTCTTGACCACTTTGGCCGAAGGAAAACCTGGTCAAAGTGGCTGAATGGAGAAGAAAGTTACAGCTAGTCTCGATCCTCCGCAACTTAAGAAGCGCGAACAGTCATTCTGATCCAGCAGTCAAGGCGCCTCAGAACTGCTACGAAGACCATTATTCGCGAAGGACCTTCGAGCGCCGAAGAGACGAGGCTCAAGTTAATGATGACTATTGATGGTCTCGATAGTTCAAGCGTATCAAGAGCTGGATCATCCTTCTTGTCCAACTAAGACGGGACTCAATTATGTTTTGAAGTATGCTCAGATTTTATTCCGAATCAATAAATGGAAATTTAAAACTCTGATACAGTAAAAACAAATTTGGCGGGTAGTTTGGTTTTTGTTTGTTCATTTAGGGATGCATGTTTTATTAATGCTTGAGAGCTCAATCAGGCACTTCGTCTAGTTCTTGATCAGCCGGCGGGCCACCCTCGCGCGCTTCGGCGACCAGTGCATCATCATCATCGATATCTCCGAGATTGAAGTTGGGGTCTTCTTCGTAATCAAACCCATCCCGATCGTTCTCAGTATCACCATTCTGTAATGAATTCACCGGTTTGTGGTTGAGAGTGTGGGTTGTTCGTCGATCGGTCGAAAGATTCTGTTTGACTAAGTCGATGATCTCTTGGATCTCTTCTTCTGTAAATCTCGAGTCGCATTCTTCGATGATCTGTGGTAACATCCACAAAAAAAAATATGAATTACGTCAGGACGAAAAAAAAAAGGATAAGGTGACAGCTATGCTATAAAAGGAATACCAGGTAAATCTCGACTAGTTCGGTTGGAGCCAAGTCGCAAATCTGTAATCTTTCGGCTTTGGTCAGTCCGTTAGCTCTACCGGAGACTTGGCCGAAGCGATTCCTGAGAGATTCGCATAATGAAAGGATGGATTGAGTTGATTGTTTGGCTTGCGGTAGATGATGATTAGGATGTTCGAAATGGGTCAAGATGTTTTTGACGAGTTGGTCCAAGTTATCTGTGGGTTCGACAGGGGGGGCTTTGAGTTAGCAATGTCGATCGATTCAGGTCTCATTTGACTAACTGTTTGGCTGGGGTGGTAGTTGTTGTGGCTGTTGGTTGGCATTCAATTCGATGGCTCTTTGGTCCTCCAGCTCTTGCTTAGTCTTGATCTCTCTGACTAATTCCAAGGTTTCGAATGCCGAGAGCGGTATCAGATTCGGATTCAAGATCTTCAAATTATAATTTTATTCATTTTTTTGGAAAGAGAGAGAGTCAAGTGAGTGAGTGAGGCTTCTTTTCTTCTGTATGATTCAATGCAGTGCTTCCTTACTTACCTCCATCCTTCCTGGTCTCTTGACATTCCCGAATTCTTCAAGGGGAATCTCCTCAACTGGTCTGCTAAAAACCACCCGAACCCCCCAACCGAGGGGCTTCTGCATCACCTGCGCCGCATCATGATCGCAGATCTCGGTCGGGTCGGCGATATGACCGTGCCGAGTTTTCAACCTCCCGCCCGACTTCAAACATGGTGCTCGTGCCTTGAGGGCATAAAAGCCCACAACTGGGATGACTGTGACACCAGTTTCATCGTTGTTATGTACATTTCCAATAGACCTGCTGTAACTTTGAATCAAGAACAATCGGGGATCAGAGTCTTGAGAAGGTGAGGGTGTCCAAGAACATCCACTGACTTGGCGATTCCGGCACTCGCGATCAGAAATTCTGAAGACACTCCGCCAGCGACCATTTTTCTCTTTTCTCACAATACTCTCATTTCCTGAAGCGCACTGCCAACTCAATCACTGAGCCTGAGGATGGGTGCTAATATACTTACTCGGACGGCATTGACCTCTCAGGCTGTAGTTTTGTTGCTTTGTCTGTTAGGTTTGATTGGTCAAAGTCTCTCCGGCTTCATAACGTCCGAAGATCTTTGGGAAATACAAGAATCTCACTTGAGAGCAATGCAGCTTGGAGTGGATGGTAAGTAACCTCACCAAATCAAATCTCTTTTGGTCAAAGCCAAGTAAACCTGACTCTTCATGGTCTCATTCACTCAAATGTGTTCAATTTTCATTGGTGCTACAGATTCCCCCCACGGTGACATTCGAGCTCCGATCTCAGTCAAAGAGATCGCTCAGAGTGAGCTTACAACCCCAAACATAATCCAATGAATTATAAACAGAACAATTGTCACTGATAAAACCTCACGAAAATCAGAGATCAGTGGAGGACCCGCTGAAGGGGCTAAACACGTGGTGCCAGAGACAGGTGAGAAAGAGTCTTTATATTGATCAGTAATCGAAGGAAAATCTTCCATAATAAAATCTGCATTCTTATTAAGTGCTTTCTGTTCACCATCTGAAAGCTTACGGTGAGTCTGAATTCGATAGGCGGAACCTTTTGGGCTTATGATCTGGTATTGTATCGAGTGCAGCTGAAGTACCATTAATTCCTCTTGGCCACCCCCCCTCAAGGAATACGCCGAGAGCTAACGGATCAAGTCGCGGAGCCTTTCAAACAGAGCTTAAGAGGTATAGCATTCGGTTCGATCGAACAAACTGAAGAGCTACGTCAGAATCTCGTCGGACGAAACTACGAGCGTCTCGAGAATCTTATAGAACTAATCCCGCTCGATACGAACAAGCCCAGTTACTTGCAGGAGGGGATGGAAGAAAAGGCTTTTCGTATTCAAAAGTATGAAGAGACGGTATCAAAATTCTTTCGGGAAACAAAAATTATTCTGGATATCCTTCAGGTCCCGCATCTCGTCACTCTATCCAACATCGATTCCCACCCCATCACCCTTACAACTGCATTACATAACATCAACGATATTTCTGTCAGACTCCTTGTCATTTCCGAAAAGCATCAACTTCTTAGCGAACGAGGGATCCAAAACTTGATGAAAAATGAGAAAATGCACCAGTTCCTATTTAACTATATCTTGCGCAGGTTTCGGATAAGGCCAGATATCACTTCAGTTTATTTGAACTCTGACTTGAAGCTTAGCCTGGAAGAAAGTCCATTCACTGAAGAGCTCAGGGGAATTTTGAAATGTTAGTCCGGATATCATTAACTCCCCTCAAAACTGAACTGAATTGAGTGATACTGAAACTTGAATTATCTTGTTTATTTTGATTTTTTTTTATCTCCTGAAATCAGCTTTTCAAGCAGCTAACTGGAGGAAGTTAGAGCGTCTGTTTGTAGGTGCCCAAATCAAGAGTTTTGAAAATGAATTTGGTCAGATCTCAATCCAGAAAGAATTTTTGAAAGTCACATCATCTAGCGTGCTGAAGAGAGCTGGCACCCGTTATTTTGATAAGAAAGTTATGACTTTCATGAAAGATTTGATCCATTTAACTTCTGCAATACCTGTCAAGGACGCCATCAACGCGAAAACAGGAACAAATATCTTGAAACTAAAACTTTTACATAACATGCTGAGAATCATGAATCGATATATTGTTGGGCAAGCTTCAAAGCAAACCCAACGTAAAATCAAATATTTAACTCATAATCCCAAGTCAACTTCAAATCTCCAGGCCTTTGATGAATCAATGATCCTATTTTCTGATGTACTCAAGTCAGTCTATGTGAAGTATGGCGAGACCTTGCAAGAGCTTCCTGAGGATTTGAAATCGGACCCGGATTTCAAGAAGAAAGTCGAAGAGAAGATTTACTTGACGGATTCAAACAAGAGCAATCAAGCGTCCATGCTCTCCACTGCCAGTACTTCCGCCAATCAAGACGATATCAAATTAGATCATTCTGAATCAGATCGATTTATTGGGGTGAATCATCCTCAATATAGGTTTCAACATCTATTTGAACACGGTGAAAGTTCAGATTCGTTACCCAAGGATGGAAAACTATTTCGGACTAAACTCAAGGGTGAACTCAAGGTTGAAGGATTGAAGGGTATCATCCAACCAATCCTAGAACGTCTTCAAAAAATAGATACAAGTTCAGAGGCTTCTCTCTACACCAAATTTGATCAGTTAGGTCATATTCTAAGCCGTCCCAATAGTGAATTGATCTATCGTGAGAGGCTATCATATCAGTGAAATGTATTTTCTTTTTGTGAATGATGTGGTTTGATCCATCAGCTTTTATATCACTTACTTACATCTTTGTTCAAATCAATCCTCCTGAGTCCTCTTGTCAAGTAAAAACTCAAATCTTTCCAGTTTCCTGCTTCTGCCTTCTTGATGAATTTTATAAGACAAACACATGGAACCTACTTAGACACAAACCTGCTTGTCTAACTAGAATTATCCAATATCCATGTGACTAGCCCCTCAAGGTGCAGTTATATTCAAACCAGGCAGCTTCACAATGTAAGCTTTCTTGCATCAAGAACCTCACCAAACACAGAACAGCATGGGGGCACTCCAATGAAGCACATTTGAGGGCAGTCAAAAGGCAGCATTGAGCAATGGGGTTTTTATGATGAGAAGATTGATTGGCAAAGTCAAAGAGTGGTATGTATGGACAGATAGCACTCTGATGATCAGCATACAGAGCTCTGTGAATTTGTCAGCAGATAAGGTCATTTAAAATTCACCAACTGTGTTTTTTGTGATTACATGAGTAAGGCTTTGTTTGGTCATACACAATTTTCATGAACCGTCATCACAAATTTTCAAATCAAAATCTAGGTAGGGTTCTTTCAGGCTGTGTCATTTGCACAGCCTGAAAATTCATATGAATAACAAGGGTTTGGGAGTTGGTGAATTATAAAGAGCCCCCAAGAGCTGGGAGGATTCCACCCAGACGCTGTGGTATGTCCATACCTCTCCATGTATCTTAATTTTTTCCATCATTCTACATATATTCTCCACGGCACACCCAAAATAAATGGCTATTCATTTTTGGCACTTGGGAACACATAATTTTTTGGGTGTGTTGGACTGAATGCAGGTGTCAGCAACCCATTTAGGAAACAGGCCGGTGTCCTACATGGGCTTTCTTGAGGGCCTGAAGTTGTTGGAAAGATAAATTGACTCTGGGACAACAATTTGGGAATGGAAGAAAAGGTCAAGTGGAAGCAACAAGACCTGAATTGAGAATTCAATCAGGCATCTTCACTCATTTCAAACTTTTCATAGTCTCTGAGATTGGGTTCACCAGGTGCATCTCCATTAATCCCCATGGAAGAGGCAGATCTTCTGGGTGTCCTGGAAGGGCTCTTCTTACTGTGATTGTTGAGATGAACTCAGGTGACTGGAGACAAAGTGTTGGAAAGGATAATGATTCATTTCAACAGGGGGTTGATAACCGCACGCCAACCCCCATGGCGCACGCCAATCCGCACGCCAGGTGCAGATTGGCGTGCGGGCCTGCACGCCCAACTTTAGGTCCTAAACGCATATTTATATGCGTTTAGGACCTGGGCCGTCCCATAGGACCCAGGCATGGGTCCTACAATGGGACGGCCCCATTTTTCCTTTTTTTTTCTTTTTTTTTTCTTTCTTTTTTTTCCCCCTCGGCCTAGAGAGGCCGAGGTCACACCGCCGGGAGGAACCCCTCCCGGCGAGCGGTGTACACTCCAGCGGAAGGGTTTCCTTCCGATGGATGAGGTACGTGTACCTCGTCCAGCGGAAGGGTTTCTGTCAGCCTCTGGGTAACTAACCTGAGTATTTAATAGTAAAAAGGTTGTTACTATGAGTTGACTGAAGTTTTTGAGCGTGGTGAGTGTTAGGTAGTGGGTGATTAATACCAGTCCTGTAAAGAGGAGGTTTCACTCTATCAGTATGGTCTTTACTGAGAGGCTTGCTATCAACAGCGCATCCGGATCAATACAAGGTATTAATAGGCATCCAGGGTACTAAGACTCACCTGGGATTGATTTGGTTATTCCCCAAAGGGAATGGGCTAACAATACTTATTAAGCTTTAACAAAATTAGTTGAAGATTAACAGGTATTGTTGATGGGAATATTCAGCAAGGCTATGAATACTGTGGATAAGTTGAGTAAGAGTACTGAAGCTTAAGAACAATAAATGTAGACAAGATTTATGTTGGTTACGGGTACTGTATCAATATAAATGTTAACTGGTTTAACTGGTGTCTGAATATTCTGGGGATTAATCAGTGGAAGTGGCACGGATTATAAGTTCCAGAATACTGAAGGGGGAAAGAATGAGCGCTCAGAATCAAGGGAGCTTTGGCCAGGAGAATGAGCACATCAATTGAGTGACTGATCATTATTTGTCATGATCTGTAAGTGACATCATAATTGTGTACTAGTTGATCAATGTACTAGTTGCTCTTGATGTGTACTTAACAGATCCTCTAATAATGTAGTCATAATTGTGATCTGTGCATGTATTGAATGTATTAATTCTATTGACACTTAATACTTACTATTTAATACATGTACATATTTATTTGTAATAATATTTGACCGTGAAAATACTGTAGCAGAGGGATAACTTGTGGTACAGGTATTTCACGGACAAGGGAGTGAAAGGTAAGTGATAATTACTTATGTAGAACACAGGTATGTATTTAAATAGATAAGTAATTAACAGATAAGATAAATGTAAGATAAATAAGATAAGATAAGTTAATGATAATAATAAGATAACAAGAGGTAAAGGTAATCAACATTATGGATAAGTACTTATGTACATAAGTACAGGTGTTGCAGTTACTTGGTACATGAAAGGTACTGTGACATGTACTCTGTGGCTGACACTTCCTCCCTCTAAAAAAGGCTGATCCAAGAAATAAATGAATGTTATTTTCTTTTATCAGCTCTGTATTGTCTGAGAATTTTATCAGCATCAGGTATTTTATCAACTGTAAGCCATTCATCTTCTTTGGTACCACTGTATCTTACTAAATACTGTTTCATGTCCACATTGTTTTTTCTGATTTTTCTATGTTGTAATATCTTCTTAATTTTAATTTCTTCTTTCTCTAAAGGAGGTATTACAACTCTGATGTTATCTTTTCTTAAAGGAAATTTATCATTATCACTAGTTTTGTATGGTTTAATTAGACTGACTGGAAATGTAGGGTGTTTTCTTTCTAATTCTCCAGTGAGTATAACTTCAACAGCATTTGCACCGTGTAATTGTTTGATTGTAAAAGGTCCTACAAAGGAATCTCTTAATTTTTTAGGTCCAGTCAGATTTGTAAAATTAAATGTAGATATCAAGACTTGGTCTCCAACTTTAAACTGGTGAGCTTTGTGAGTTTTATCCCATCTAGTTTTGTTGTAATCTACAGCTAATTTCACGCATTCTGCTGCATATTTTTCAGCTTTGGTCATCATAAAATGAAAATCAGAGGCACTTGGGTGTATATGTACTGCTTTTGACATTAAAATTTCTTTGGGAAACCAAGGAGTCCAACCTCTTTCCAATTCATAAGGTGTTTTATTTGTTGTACTGTGTTGGCTAGAATTGTAAGCATATTCAAGTGCAGGTAATAATGAACACCAATCATGAGTATAGTTGTCTTTATCCTTAAATGTCATTCCATAGGCACAATATCTTCTGATCATGTCTTCCAAAGTTTGAATCATTCTTTCAGCTAGTCCATCTGTTTGGGGGTGGTAAGCTGTAGAAAATTTCAGTTGTGTCCCGCATAAATCATATAAATTTCTCCAAAATTCTGACGTAAATTTAGGGTCTCTGTCTGTAATGATATATCTGGGACATCCAACATCATAAATAATAGAATTCCAAAATAATAAGGCAGTATCCATTGCTGTATCTTCTTTATGACATGGTAGAAATCTTGCTCTTTTGGAAAATCTATCAACTACTACTAAAATTGCATTGAAATTATTAGGTCCTCCGGGTGGTAAGCCAGTAACAAAATCCATGTTAATAACAGACCATCTTTCTTTGGGTTCTTCAATTTCTTGCAATAATCCATACCTTTTTCCTGTAGCTTTATTTGCTTTTTGGCATCTGTCACAAGATTCACAATAATCTTTGGTATCATTTCTAAAATTAGGCCACCAAGCAATTTGTTTAACTCTCTCAATTGTTCTGTCAAAGGAAAAATGAGCTGAGGATATATTGTCGTGACATTCTTTCAAAAATAAATTAATGTGTTCTTTTAAACAAATAACTACTACACTTGTATGTTTGATTCTGTGGTAAATTAATCCATCTAATAGAGAGAATCTATTTTCTTTGAATGAGCTAAGCCATGGTTCTTCTAAGGAATTGATCAGATCATTATTTTTGAAATTACTTTGTAATATATTCTTTATTGTGGAGCAATTTTTATTTTGGTCATAACTAATTCTAATTTCATCCCAAAATTCTTCTTGCATTTCAGTCACGTGTAACCCACAAATATTAATATCATCATTGTTATCATCAAAGGCAGGATTATTTTCATTATTTTCCTCTGGGAATAAACACATAATTTTTGCAGCAATTTCTCCGTCCCATGCTGGGTTGTCTGGTATATTTTCCAAAGACCATCTACTAAGTCCATCAGCATTTTTATGTATATTACCTTCTCTATGTTTGATAGTCATACTTCCTCTCCATTCTTGAATAGCTATTTGCCATCTGAGCATGTGTCTATTTGGAGTTTTCATACTTAATAAACTTTTGAGGGCCGTACAATCAGTAATGACTTCAAATTCACATCCATCAAGGTAATAATATAATTTATCTAGGGCCCAGACTAAACATAAACATTCAAGTTGGCTGGCCCCATATTTTTTCTCACTGTCTTTCAATGTTCTAGAAATATAACAAATGACTCCTTCTTTTGGTATTTCTTGATCTTGAATTTGGTGTAAGGCAGCTCCTAATCCTTCCATACTAGCATCTACATATAATTTATAAGGCTTATTAGGATTAGGCATAAATAATATAGGAGCAGAAGTAAGTAATTCACGTAATTTATTAAATGCAGCTACTCTATCTACTGTCATCTCAAAAGCAGTGTTTGGGCTACTTAATTTATATAGACAACCTGTTACTTTAGCAAAATCTTTAATGTGTTGTCTATAATAACTAGCAAAACCAAGGAATGACTGTATTTCTTTAACATTAGTGGGCATAGGTTTTAACATTACTGCAGCTACTTTATTTTTATCTATAGCTATGCTCAATCCTGAA